ATTTTATTATTTTTGTATATGCACAGTTATTCACATGTATCATTAAAATTCTGTGAATCCAGACACATTATAGAGACCTTAGATAGCCCCTACCCAAATTCTGCAAATGAATCATTTCACCTAGAGATCTATAGCTGTTTGAATAAAATTTAGTCTGGCCCATATATAAAGAAAAATTGCCTGCATTTTATGTATATGCAAGCATTTGGCAGCTATATTAGTCACCTTTCCATTGCTGGCATACACAACATAAAGAAGAAAAGGCGTGTCTGTCTGGCTCAAATTTTCTGAGGTTTCTGCCCAGGATCAGCTGGCTAAGGCAGAAACATCCTGGCAGGAAAAATCTGCTGGCCTCATAATCTGAGAAACAGATTGAGAGGAAAGAACCAGAGAGGAAGAGCCCAAGAAAGCCAATCAAATTGACAATCACAGAAACTAACAGATGTTACCTTTAGGAGTGGGACAGGAAAGAGGTAGTAGATGAGTAGATAGATATTATTCTTTATTTTATGCCATTTTGTGTATTTTTGTTTTGGTTTCTTGTTTTTATAAGAGCTGTTTGTATATTTTCATCTGTCATATATCAGAAGTGTTTTTCTTTAGTTGTTTTTCTTATTATTTGAATTCAAGGTGAGATTTTTTTTTCTTTTTTTTTGTATTTTTTACTTCAGGGTCTACAGGGTCTAGAGGGTCTCACTACGTAAATCAGACTCCTAGTGATCCTCCTGTTTTCAGCCTCCCAAGAGCTGGGATTACAGGCATGTGCCACCATGCTGTCTCAATTGCCACCTCAGTGCACCCCAGGGGTGGGGCTGCCTCAGCTTGCTGGGGATGGAAGCCCTGCTACTGTGTCTGCCTAAGCAGGGGCTTTAATCTGCCGAGCTATTTGGCCAGCCCTCAAGGTGAGATTTTAAAAAAATTATTTGTTACAGGGTTTTGCTACACAGTTCAGACTTTAGTGATCTTCCTGTCTCAGCCTCCCCAACACTGGGATTACAGGGGTGCACCATGATGCCAGGTTTCCGGGCCAGCA